AGAGGGTGGGCGTGAGTAGGATGGGTGATTGGGCGGGGAGGTAGTTATGACGACGACAATAGTGGCATGGTGGTCGATGAGATAGGTTAGGTGTTTGGTGCGAGGGGTGAGGTGGTAGTTGTGGCGACAACAATAATGACATGGTGGTCAGGGTGGATGGAAGGATGGTAGTTTGTGACAACGACAATGGTAGCATGGTAGTAAGGTGAGCTGTGGTGAGTGGGTGACAAGAGTGGGTGTGTTGGTGGTTGATAGGGTTGGGGTTGGGTGGGGTGGGTTGTTTTGGATGAGGTGTAACAATGATAGTAGTAGCATGGTCATGGTGGGACTACAGGATGCGTGATGGGGTAAGTGATGTTGGTTAAATTGAGTGGAATTCAATTCTTTCATTTATCTAAAGAATTACGAATTCATTAATTTATGGAATTCAAAGGATTCCATACATTTCAATATATGAACCAAATAAAAGAATTGAAATTTGGTCATATGAATTGAATTTTGGTTAAAAGAATTGATCATTCCAATTCTTTGGAAGTCCTTTGAATTCTACGAACCAAACAACATCTAAGATAATAAAAGCTTTTTCTTAAAACATGGTATGAAAGAATTGAATTCGTTAGTAGAACTAAGGAATTTACATTTTACCATATGTAGAATTTGAATTTCTTACTGAACAATACGCAAGAATGTTATTTGGTCAAATGAATTGAGCATTTCAATTTTTTCAAATTTTATCGAGTTTCCACCACACCTAATGGATTTATGTATCTATAACCAAGGGTACACTTTAAGTAGACGTATAAATTGAAGTTAACACTTGTTTAAAATCACTAATACTTCATTTTTGAAAGTTAAGACTTATATGTAACAATTCTTTTATTTGTTTTTAAAATTGGATTGATATCTGAATCACAAATACTTCATTTTTATATCAAAAGATATAAACAATAAATATGATTTTGTTGGATTTAGATCGCACGAATCGTGGAGAAATGTTGTGCAACAATGGCCTCATCCCGACATCCCTCGTGCCCTTCAATAATCGTCCTCCTCATCGACCAACATATAAATTTGAAGCTTAAAACCCCTCATTTTCATCATCAAAATCCCATCTTTCCCTCTGTAAAAAATGGCGACATTTTTCTCCCTTTTTCTTGCTTTCACCTTGGTTTCTACCTGTGTTCTTGCTGCTGCTCCTCCACCACCTCCAATGAACAGTAAGTTTTCAGTTTCCATAAACAACGTTATGGTATGCAAATACCGGTTATTTGATTAACCTGGATCTGTTTGACGCCGTTGTTGGTCTTGTTTTGTTCAGGAATCTTACCAAACGGAAACTTTGAAGAACCACCAAAGGCAAGCGACATGAAGGACACAGTCCTACTCGGCAAAAACGCCCTACCCAAATGGGAAATCACCGGCCTTGTGGAGTACATCCATGGCGGACCTCAGCCCGGCGGGATGTACTTTCCGGTTGCACATGGCGTCCACGCCGTCAGGCTCGGCAACGAAGCCACCATATCTCAAACCATTGCCGTCAAAGCTGGCTCTCTGTACGCCGTCACGTTCGGTGCTTCCAGAACCTGTGCGCAGCAGGAGGTGTTGAGGGTGTCGGTGCCGCCGCAGTCCGGCGATCTTCCACTGCAGACTCTCTACTGCAGCGACGGAGGCGATGTGTATGCTTATGGATTTATAGCGAATTCAAACAGTGTGAAGTTGACCTTCCATAACCCTGGAGTCCAAGAAGATCCTAAATGTGGCCCACTCATCGATGCCGTCGCCATTAAAGAGCTCCTCCTTCCCAGACCTACTCGATGTAAGCTTTGAATCCGACTGAAATTGCTAATTTTCCTTTCTAACCACCTTTTTAATATAATTCCTATGGATTCTACGTAAATGTATTTTAAAAAACTAAGAAAAATGGGTTGTTTGAGTAAAATCCGGTCCATGCGAATATAACTCATGAACCATCTTTGTTTCAGTTAATTTGGTTAAAAATGGCGGATTCGAGGAAGGCCCCCACCGGTTATTCAACTCCACCAGCGGCGTCCTCCTCCCTCCAAAACAACAAGACGTCACATCCCCGCTTCCCGGCTGGATCATCGAGTCTCAGAAAGCCGTTAAATTCATCAACTCCAATAATTTCAACGTCCCATCCGGCGTCGCAGCCATCGAACTCGTCGCCGGAAGAGAAAGTGCCGTCGCTCAAATCCTCCGAACCATCCCCAACAAACTATATAACCTAAGCTTCGCCATTGGAGACGCGAAAAACGCGTGCCATGGTGACATGATGGTTGAAGCCTTCGCCGGAAAAGACACCCTGAAAGCAAAGTTCAAATCGGAAGGCAAGGGGAAGTGGAAGACGGTGAACATGAAGTTTAGGGCGATCTCGGCGAGAACCAGATTGACGTTTTACAGCTCGTTTTACCATACGAGGATTGACGATACTGTATCTCTTTGCGGCCCTGTGATTGATGAAGTTAAGGTGTCCTACATAGGAGCTTAAAAACTCCATTGGAGTTGAGATTTATAGAATTATTTATATTTTGGTCGTCTGTAAATCACAGACCCTTGATGATTTATTAGCTGACAAAATGGTATTTGATTAATAATGTTGTTTAAAAACAAAAGATCCAACATTTGACCACCAAATTGTAATTCATTTCAACAATTATTTGTGGTTCACCTATTACTTTTCTATCCGTTTCCAATCAAATTTCGACATATGTAAAAATATGAACACTAATATATAACTGTAGTATTTGTTATGTAAATATAAAGGGTGTATATATAAATTAAATAGTAATAAAAGGGAGAAGAATATGACATCTTAATGTCTTATTAAAGGGACATTAAGTTTCGGGTATATGGTTAACTGCATATTAATAGAGACTTAGTAGTATACCCGTTGCAATGCGGCGAGATCTACAAATTATTGAGTTTGAAGGAGGATAAATCAAAAAATAACTCATGTTTCATGTTTTTTTATATATTTTATCATGGTGATGCTAGTTTTCTCTTGTTCATAAAGTTGAGTCCCCCCATGCTCACGATCGGACGTTTTCCTTCTTGTTACTTTCATGGCCAAGGTATTCCACCTGCTAGATACAAGACCAAATACAAGTTAATATTGTTTCATAATAAAACGGATATGTAAAGATACAACATTTAGAAGCATGATTTAACGACCCAAAAAAGATCGAGAAGATCGCCAATAATAAACCTGGTAGCAAAAGTAGGTACTTTTGTATCCAGTCTAATGCTTTAGAGCTTCCACATGTACTTTAACATATAATGGCATATCGATATCGACTATATTAGCATGTGAAACACCTTCAAATATAAATTCTCAAGATTAGGCATCATATCCCTTTTGAGGGTTGCAAGAATGAAGTGCAATTGAGTGTGGCAAGTATCATTTTTTTTTTTAAATGCTTGTCAGGTAAGAGTTTTCTCCCTTGCTTACCAGGTAAGATTCTTAGTCTCCCATATATACAGGTAAGGTAAGTAACACTTGGTAAGCTTATCGGGTAAGAGTTTGGTAAATGGTAAAACGGCCCCTAAATGTATCTTGATAAGTTAGCTTGCCTCATAAACATGTTATCACAATTTGAAATCACATTTCTATATAGATTGCATTCGAGCAATGCTTGATTACAAGTGAAGTACGTGAATCAAAGAATAGGAGAAATCTATGAGAACAATATGTAACCACCAATATTGGAGATTAAACGGAAAAGGGAGCGTTGTTCTCCAGACAATATGTGTATGTACATATATAGGTGTGTATGTATATATGCAAGTGTGTTTATATACATATATGCATATGTGTGTATATATACATATATATTCCTACACAGAAAAGATTAAATATGAAAAAGACTAAATTACCTCCTTATTTACCCGATTCGAGCTAAGGCATCCAACTACGGTCAACATCAAATTAACTAAAATACGTCGTATCCCATAATTCACTATCATTCATTATTTATAGCAAGTAGCAAAATTATGCACATATCAAAATTTTAATATTAGATTTTTCTAACCGGTAAATTAAGAAGCATATCACACGCTATAGATTTTGTGCTTAACGACCAAGGCTACCAATTTTCAATTATGTAAAAATCAAATGATGTAATGACAAAAATGGGAGATTGACATGTCTACAGAATTTGAGACTTAGGAGACGTTTACTTAGTAAGCGTTTAACTGTAAAATTCAACACCATTACTTACATTATCGAGCAAGATTCTAGTTCATCAAAATGGCGTTGTATGCAACAATTTTCCCGATAAGTGCTAACCGGGTAAGAGTCGTCACATTCACTTACCGGGTAAGACTCTTGGTCATATGATTGCTCTTAACGAGTAAGATTCTTACTCCTTGACATGTTAATCCGGTAGAGCAAGTAACCCCCCATAAGCTCTTACTACATAAGCATTAAGTAAACGGACCCTTAGTTCAGGATTATTGTTATTGATGCATGAGTGGAGCTAGACTGGCAATTTCGATCACTTGACAATGAATTGTTTTAGAAGCAAAGCATGAACAAAAATTAGTACTTTCTAAACCATATAACAAAAATTAGTACTTACCGGGTAAGACTCTTGGTCATATGGTTGCTCAAGGCATGCTTGACTGTATAAAACGACAACAAAAATTAACATCAAAATGTATAACAAAACAACTGTAATATACAAAAAAGGATAAATGCTTTTCTTTCTATACTCAAGGATTCAAAGTTTGGTGTTTCCTAAACATGAGCATTGATAGCACAACGATCAAAATGGATAAACCTCATAAGGAAACAAAGTTAAAAACATGTGAAAACATTTTACAAAGGAATATTTACCATAAAATTGCAAAGAAATGTATGCACCATCTATGGAGCAAGACCAAGAAGGGAACAATCTAAGAATAGAGCAGATACGTTTTTTTTGAAATCGAGGCTACCAACTTCTTTACCTTCAGGATTTTTCCATTCAACCTAGGTTCTGAGCTATTTCTTGAGTGTGTCTTTCTAGAATCAAGAAATGGAGAGTGAGAGTGAGATCGAGTATGGAGGAAAAGATTTAGAATTTTAAAATTTGAAAAAGTAGAGCACAAATCGTCTCCTAGAGAAGAAAATTTCTGACTTCTGAACATGGTAGCAGGGTTTAAAGTCAAGCACTGAAGACTTCTATGACGGTCAGTTAAAAGCATCAGGAGGCAAACTATTCAAGCTTTTGAAAAATGAAATAAGGTGGAAAAGAACTGTGCGTAGAAAGCAAGGTTTGAAGCTACCTTTTTGGTAGGGGTTCAAAACCATTGCATCAAGCACTTGTATATTGTGTTTTGTGAGTAGTGATTAAGAGATTTTTTGAATTTGATGCTTTAAAATGTAATACATTGTGGGAAACAATTGCACAAAGAACTTGTACATTGCGCATAATAGTTTGTAATTAAGAAATTTTTGAATTGTTGCACACAAAATGATAGTAATCTGTGTTTTGAAACTTGTACTTAAGACTTTTATATAAATGGTTATTAATGTAGTATAGATACATAAAAATAGTTGATACCTGTCAGGAAATCTAAAATTTAAAACACCATGTGCAAAACTATGTTGAAGGAGGTACATAAAGTTGCACCATTTTCAAATCTAGATGAAAACCCAACTCATACAACAAATATTACCATAAATTAATTCCTTTCTCACCAAGGTTCCATTGGGATCAAAACATAATGAAGTTTTTTTTTTTTTAAGGGTGTCCGAGTCAAAGTTCGACTAATCTCCGGCAAATTTGGAGGCTAAACATGGCCCCACTTAAATGTCGCCAACACTCTCCTTCCAGGGTTCGAACTTGGGTTCATGACTATGTCATGCCCAAGCCTTTACTACTAGGCTGGAAGGTCTTTGACATAATGAAATTATTACCATAAAAAATTATATTTTTTAAATTACAACAAAAACTTCAATTACCATCATCATGAATACAAGTCCAAGCAACTCACTACCAAACAGGTTCAGAATTTCCGAAGGATAGAGCCGACGGAAAAAAGAGGTGCCGGTGATTAATTTTTCGACGGCTTACGGCCGCCAAAAATTTATAAAATTATTAATTTTAAAATATTTTTCCAGTAAATATTTAAAACCTGTAAATCTGTAAATATTAAAAAAGACTAAAAAGATGAAATGCCGCTAAATAGCATACATTAAACTAAACAATAATTATCCCGACCAATTTAAAGTAGCACACAATTTTTCCAAACAAAAACTAAATTGTTCCAAACAAACAGACGATATTCAATATGATGGCGGGGGGAAATGCTGAGATTGACTGAGTTGTCTGACCAAAGCAGTCATATCTTCAAGTTGTTTATTATGTCGCTCCTCCTTCTCCCGCCGTCGCTCATCCTCCGCCCGCCATGGCTGATTTTCTTCCAGTGAATCTCTAAGTTCGTTTCTTAAAACTTCAATTTCTTATAAAATAAAGAAAACGTGATAATATTTAATATGAATTATAAACAAAATTGATAAACATCATCAATGGAAAATAGACACATACCCGACTATCTGAAGACGATGGACCACCTTGTGTGTAGTTCCCAGTCAAGACCCAATTGGGATCTTGGTTGTACCCAAACCCAAATAGACGGCATTTCTTGCTTCCCCCGACCGTCTTCTCCCACAACGCTATATCAAGTAAGGGATAGGTGAAGGGATTGTTGTCGTATCTTTGGGTGAGACCCGTTGAATAATCATCCTATATATGGTTTAAAAAGATTACAAGTCAATTTTGATAGCATAACGGCTGTAAATGGGGCGTTTCCAAACAAAACAATAGTGATAAATATGAAATTTGTAGCCAAAACAATAATTACGCTTGTCCAACAAATGGCAATCCAAACTAAATATTGATACATACAAATTTATAACTTAAACAATCCTAATGTTTGTTCAGCAAATGGCTGTAAAACCCAAAAAAAAAAAACTTTGAGGAATAAATAATTTATTTTTATTATTATTTTTATTTTATTTTTTTTTATAAAATACACACACATACTTATATATATATATATATATAATAAATAAAGAAATTAAAAGAAGTTTAAAAATCGGACCAAATGTGAAAGAAAAAGTCAAGCCAGGGGGTTGTATGTCATTTCTCATTGTGCAGGGTAGAGTCTGGTGAAAAGTGGTCCAACTTTGAGGGACCTGTTTTGTAAATAGTACAAACCCTGAAATTTGAAAACGATTTTTCAATGAAACGTTTAGAGAGCGTCTATTGGCTCACTTGGTCAACGAATAAGCCAAATAAGGCCAGATTTAAGTAGGTCTCGTCTTCCTCTTCATTTARCTCGAAACCACTCGGATTTTCGTGGAGTTTTGAAGGAGAAAACCGGAGTTGAAGTTCAAGCCAAAAATCTTCGTTTTTCGTCGATTAAAGGTAAAATACTCAACTAAAATTCATGTTCTTTACATGATTAGCTTCGTTTTTAAGTCCTTTATAGAACCTTAGTAGCCTCACGTTCCAGATTTTGTGTTTTATGGTTTGATTTTGAAGTTTAAAGTTTCGTTCGGTTTAGTTTAAAACTAAAACTTTAAATGAGTAAATGGAACTCATTTCTTAATGAAAATTTGTGTTCTTTATGCCAAAGTGTTGGTGAAAATATTACCAAGAGTTTGGTGCAAAAAAGAATG